GTATATATGGTGTGACACGCCATGAGTGTCAACACCGCCGGCAATAGTATCGCAAATGCGGGCAAACGTTTGGGTCAACACTTTCCCTATGCTTTCAGTCAGTGTTTGGCTGAGGTTTGTATGCATTGATTGAAAGCTAATTAGTTTTAAAAGTTTTCATTAATTGTCTGCTTTTGTGTAATGAAGGGCTCATTGTATGCCAAATGTATTGAATTGAATGATATTCAAGACGTGAAGAAAGATATTTGTCATAAAGAGTTCATTCAATTGAAGCAATGCTTTGAAAATGCATTGAAAAATGCGAAGAAATGATGATTTATTTGATTTATTCAAACATTTAATATTACACTTAATTTATAAATTAATTACTAACTCATAGTGTACTGCCGTTTATTATGTATTTTATGGTATTAATAGAGTTTTGTGAATAGTTTTACACAAAATATATTACCATACAATTAAAGTAATGTTTAAATGATAGTTTTTTAGTTTTATTTACAATTGTAATTATAAATAGTTGTATAAATGTAAGGAAAGGCATATTTGTATTGATAATAAGAATATTCAATGGTTAATATTTATCTATGTTAATAAATATCTATGTTAATCAATTAAAATCTATAACTTGAAAGTTTTATTATAATTATCAAACATTTTATCAAACAAATTATCGTGTAATTATAAATATAATCAAACTGCCGGTATTAATATACAGTCTGCCCCCGAAATAAGGTAACTCGGTATAAGGTAAACCCCGTGATAAGGTGCATTAGTTTACTGCACCGGCAGTTTATTACTGTATTGGTTCCGTATAATGTTTATCCCGAGATAAGGTAGACCCCGAGATAAGGTAATGTTTTCTCATGCACCGATGAAAACCTTATCTCGGGGTCAGACNTAAGGTGCATTAGTTTACTGCACCGGCAGTTTATTACTGTATTGGTTCCGTATAATGTTTATCCCGAGATAAGGTAATGTTTTCTCATGCACCGATGAAAACCTTATCTCGGGGTCAGACTGTATTTGTGAAATGGACACTTCAATGATTGCATACCTGGCCGATTACCCTATCAATCATACAAAACATCTTAAACTATTCACACTCTTTGGTGAACCGGGAGGCCTCACCAGAGTAGACTATGAGTAGTGGACAGCATATGTTGACTCTGTTCCTATTTGAAAGTTTAAGACTTTTTAAGTAATTGTACATGGTCAATGAATGGAAATGGGGGGCAAATGGGGGCAAATGCACTCTAAGAGTATACTATGATAATAAAAGCACTCTTGAAATATTGTGAATGAAAGGCATAATCAAAGTGTGTTCAGCATTAATAGTTACGCCCTTTTCACAGTTCCTTTACCTGTGTTTACATGTGTTGTGAAAAGTGACTCAAAATCCAATCATTTATTGAACACTTTGTCGAAATCTGTTGGACTCCGGAAGAAGCGGTAATGTCTGCGGCCATCGAGTCATCCGACTATAACAATGTACACGAAGAGCGCTTCCAATACACGCCTGAGTGGACGATCACCACAAAGAAGTCCCATATTTTGCAGTCCAAGTGTGTGTCGCCCTTCATATGCGACCAAACGAAAGGCGCCGACAGTTCACAGGACATGGATTTGGACAGACTTTGCATGTTTTGCCGGTGAGTGCTGTCCATATACTGACACCCATTGACCATCGATTGTCTGACTGTGTCTTCAGCTACGAATGGCTGCTATCGATGCCACACATGCCGGACATGACGTATGCCAACAACTGGCTGGTGATGGGCCACAAGAATGGCTTCCGACTTGAGTTCAATTGTCTGGAAGCGCTGACACTGGTGTCCAAAGAGCCGCCCCAACACCTGAAGGTGGGCGCCGCCGATGATTGGATGAAATCGCGGGCCGGCAGTCAGTACACCCGAGTGACGGCCAAACCGTTTGACTGGACCTTCACTACTGACTACAAGGGCTCACTCGTGGCCAACGCACAGGGAGTCGGCTTCCAGTGTGTGGCCACCGATGAGCGCATAGACATCGAGCGACTCAAGGCTAAGGACGAGATCCTCTTCTACGACGACATCGACCTCTTCGAGGACGAGTTGGCCGATCACGGAGTGGCCAAGAGTTCGGTCAAAATTGTGAATACCTTTCCTTATCTGACAAATGAGAGAGGAATGGGATCTATCGCTAGACATTCCCATTCCCTACCAATTGATGGCTTGAAATAATTAAATCAATTGTTTGTCTCATTATCTGACAGCGAGTAATGAAAAACTCATTTTACATTTTAATGAGATTTTTCTTACGTATCGATAATGTGTTGGTTCGCCTCAACGACACCCGACTCTACCACGAGGTTTGTCACCCAATCCCTCCCGTTCCCCATCAATGCCTATCATTTAATACTCTGGTGTACCCCATAGGTGGGCACTGATTATATACTTCGCGAGTATACAAATCGAGAGGCGTTTGTGAAGGACCTGAACATACCGGCGCCCGTTCTCATAGATCCCGTGCGACTCAACGACCACTTAAAGCCCAGTCAACTAATCTGTCATAAGATTACGTTTAATTCCGATTAGAAATCATTGTGTCTTTAAATTGTATACAATTCACACATTTTATCATTTAATTTCAATTTTTATGCCCACTATAAACAATCAATTAATTTAATTTCTATTGAATTTTGTTACTGTATTTTAATCAATAGATGAATACTTGGAAATTACTGGGATTAAGGGTATTACCTATACTTGAGCTATAATTTAATACTTAAATGTACGGTAATATCACTAAATTCTCAATAAATCTAAAGTGTTAAATTTATTAAAATATTTTATTCATTCATTAAGTTAATACCCGTAATGTGTTTATGTTTTACGGTATTTACAATTTAGTGCATCACTGAGTAATCGTTTAAATTGAACCCTATTTACAATTACACCAATCAAATGATTAGCTATGGTAGTAGTGGTGGACATGGATGTGCTGTTAGTATATGTCTTCAACGTTCACTCTCTGGTAAGTCGTTGTCAACGAACAGTATCTCAAAGAGTCGTTTACAGTAATCGAGTTC